GGGGGGGGGGGGAAACAGGAATTAATATGGCGTTCAAGACATATGTTGTACCTGAAGTCCGCTCATCACTCTGAACCAGAGCAGGAATCAATGGAGATGCGGTGGGTTGCGACAGTGAACTGAATGTGCTGTTAGAGGCGTCCGTGTCACTCAGCGAAACACCTGACACCTTGTCACGTAACACATCGTTCACGCTCGTATCGCAACCGCTTATATCTTGCTCGTTTGACGAACAATTCGCGTTCGATAAATCCACAAGGGGAACAAAGTCCTCATCACTAAAAGTACCGTCTTGGTTTGGCTGCTGTTCCTCATCTGATACAGCCGTAACTGTGAATCGTGACAGGCCAGGATAGTCCGATGTTAGAACTTTAAGCTCTTGTGCAATATCCGGAGGGTTCTCCAACTGAATCAGCTTCGGCGAGCAAGATGCATTCTCGTTTTCAACGTGAGACACCGCATCTGTTACGTGTTCTTTGACATCATGGATAATGCTGTCTGTTTCACTGATCCTTCCCTCCTCAGTCTGGCTTTCAGTAGCCAGCTCTCTTTCTTCTCGTTCTTTGGCTAAAACTTTGTTTCGCTGGCAATAGCTGTAGATGTCAGCGAGAATAATCCTCTGTGTTGTTTCCATGCCCTGTGAAAGACAAAAAAAGCCTTGAAAGATGACAAACTTGACACATCACAACTCCTTCTGCGTCATATGACATCCTCAGAAGACTTTCCTAAATCTCCGAACTTAGGTCTGAAAAAGTAAAGTTTATACGCTGCTTAGGTCCAACTCTGTTCACCCAAACTATACTAGACCTCAGTAGTTTGAAGTCATTCGGAGAGCAAATCATACAACAAATGAATATTAGGGGTAAGTTTCTTAAGAAACTGTGGTGCTGCGTCGATGGGGCTCATTACAAGATAATTTAGTCTCAACAACTATGTTGATGATGTAAATTAGCCACCGTAGAGAGTTTCTAAAGCTCACGCTTCGAGAGGCAGCCCTTCGTCTTTCCCGAACGGTCGAAACGCCAGCTTTAGAAACTCTTTAGAGTAGCCAGTTTACAACTTCTAGTCAATTGATAAGTACAAATTATCTTGAATATATGGTTGAACCTTAGTCGACCGTGTAGACTGGTCGTCTAGGTGAGAGTGGTGCTGCGGAGGACTGTGGATGGGACCATTGACAACCTGGGCGAAACTCATCATCTGAGTCAAGAGAGGATTTTTTTTTTCAGTCGAGCGTTTTCAATCTGGTTCGTAAAAACTGATTGGTCAGTTTTTCGTGACATTATTGGCTGCAAGACTCAGTTGGCGTAAGTCGCTCCTAATCGAAGTTAAATGCATTACTTCTCATCACTACTCACTGTTCATTCGTGCAAATGTTTAGCATGAGAAATGGAGTTAGGTGAGAGACGCCCACGCTTTTCGTAGGAGCCCAATTAGTTATTTCAACGCACATCAGCACGCTGGTACAGCAAGCTTACCGGCTCTTTTTTCAGGTCCTTGTCCAGGTCTATCCGCACAAGGGACTTGTTGACTTTCAGTGACAACGAAAGAGCCATCAGCCCTCCAACATATGGGTCATTGTCACGGAGGTCCACTCTTAGAATAGTCTTGCTTTCTGCGACTACTTCAGCAAGTGCAATTATTCCTGCAACGGCAGAAGACTGGAAATTAGCCGCAGAAACAGATTAAAAAAAAAACTACCTTGACAAACGCGAGGGGCAGAGGGGGGGAGCGGAGCTCATTAGAAGGCCTTAGGAGAAACTAAAAGTTTCAGACGGGGTATTCGCAAGAGAGAAGAGCTTATTTAGAGAGAAGGAGCATATCTGGGTGTTTATGGTAATCGGTGTTGTGAACGTACATTTGTTTAGAACAGACTTAAACAATTCTTTGCCTTTAGGGTCGTATCTCGGTAAAATTACTGGACGTTATATTCTGTTTCTGTCGCCAAAACATTTGTTTTTCCAATGTAGGAATGAGAAAAATTTACGGGAACTCGGTGAACAGTCGCTAGTTTGTACCTCTCACTCGCTCTTCCTAATAAGAGACGTGCAACGCAAACAATGTCCCACTCACACCAGCAAAACATGTTAAGTTAACCAGGTTGAACTGAATAAGCAGCAATAAAAGATTTACCAAGGGTTCAAGTAATCACTAATGTCATTGTGCTAAATTTGAAGTCGACAAACATCAGCTTTCAAGTAATTTGAACGAAGAAGGCAATTTCAAACTGTGTTCGACGACAAAAACTGTAAAACCTGTTTTTGTTTCGGTGTTAAGGTCATTATAAGTTTTTTTCCTTTACCTTCGCTAGAGAGTCTTGTATTCAACAGTCCAAGTCTTTCAAGAGAGTGGTTCCTCAAAAGACCCTCCTTTAATGTGTGCATTCCCTCGTTAGTCAATCGATTGTGTCCGAGATTAAGAGTTTGAAGAGAGCTGGTGCTTACCTAAAACACAAACCATAAATTGACTTTGGTCATAAACATATCATACAGTAAAAACCACTTACTTTAACCTTAGTTCAATTTTAAGGTCAGCCTTTGTAATCCAGTTCTACCAGAGCTTATTTTAGCCTTCATAAATTGACACGACACTAAGCTGAGTCACTACAAAAACTCAAGTCGGACTAGGGATTTAGTAAAGACATGCACTAACTCACCAAAGCATTAGCCAGGAACATTGCTCCATGGCAGGTTAGTTGGGTATTCCACAGCACAAGTGTCTGTAGTCCACCATGAGGCTGTTCAGCCAGACCCTCACAAATATAACCAATACCCATGTCCTGCAAAACAAAGAGGTCAGTTTGAGGTTATTTTAAAAACACTATCACAGAAACTGAGGTGTTAATAAAATGGATTATATAGTTACATCTTGTGACATAAAAGGATAAAAAATCATTTTATACATGCTAAGTAGCACAGGAAACATCCCAGTGGTAAACTAAAACATCCATTATCAATAGATGCTATTTAAAGTACCAGACAAAATAACTATGGCCCAGCCACTCACTGGGCAGTTAATGCTATCCCAAGGATAAATTGCTATGCAGCAGATAAGTGTTATTAAAGCATGCCACGCTGTCAGCCAGACAGAGATCTATGCAATGGATAGCATTATCCACCCTTCCAACGACTGGGGCCAGAATAGCAATCAATTTTACAGAGAGTCAACAAAACTTCAGTCAACAGATAAAAACAGCTTGACTCAAGCACAAAAAAACACGTCTTCTCAAGTCGTGCATGATAGTTATGAAGACATGGCATATGTCCTCCAAGACCGATCAAACTGCATCCTGAAGCAAAACCTGAATTCAAGAACATGTTGAGCATGAATTACTGACCCTAAAAAGAAAAATACTATTTTATTACATGTAGTATGTCTCACCTGTAAAGGGTTATTTCTTAAATCAAGCAACTGAAGATATCCATTACCCTTCAACATAGCACCTAATGACTGCCCATCTGGTGATGTTAGTTTGTTGTCTCCCAGGAACAAGTCTTTGAGATTCTGGTTAAACTTTACTGCACTGACTAAGAGGCAAGATTCAGACCAACACAAATTTAGATATTTAAAATCATAATCTGATAGAAAACAAAGCAAAGTATGTTATTGATTACTTGTTTTGGTTTTTCTTTCATACAGCCACCATGAGATCAAACAAGATTATGGCACTTTCAAACTAGGTTGGTTAATAATCACTTAAATGGCAAACTTTATTTTTAAAAAAATCATCCAATTAAAGATCACATTTTATTTCATTTTCATTTTATTCCCATTTATTATCATTCATATCATTAAGGTCCTTGAGACCAAGAATTCCAGATTTTCCATTTAACAAATAGCTTCTATATTGCCATTTGTCTGTACAGTACTAGTTCACAAATGATATCAAAATGTGGTAAGAATGCAAAGTGGCACACAAGGCACAGCTGTGTGAGTCATTAATGTTTTTACTACATTTTGGCATCATCTGTGATCTATTACTGTACAGATGCACAGCAACATAGAATCTATTTTTGTTTAATACGGTAAAAAAGCAAAATGTTTTTAACTGCAACATCATGCATACATCTGTCTTCTGACAGATCAGTAGTAAGCACCAAGCAAAATGCATGATTGTGTGATTCAGTTTATCATATAATACAAAAAAGAGGACAAGAGGGCATACTTATTAGAGGATCTACAATATACATTCCCTCTCTCCCAGTCCATAGCATCACAAGACAAAAAAAGGCTACAAGCACTCTTAATAATCCCTTCTCAAAGCAGTCTTTTCTTTTTATGATTACTATACACACAGACTGTTACAGGATGAATGTAGATGTTACATACCCAGCAGAAACAGTGGTCTCCCTGACAGATTACAACCCTCCATGTGCAACACACTGAGACAGCAGTCAAGCCTGAGGGTGCGCCCCAAGAGAGGAAGAGCCTGTTCTGTCCAAACTGTGTTACGTATGTCCAAGTATTGTAAACAGGGAGTCTGAGGAGGGAAAAACATCATTTACATGGTGCAGTCTTAAATATGTGTAAGGTAGGTTTGATACACATCTGTTGATTCCCAAACCAAACATTATCTCTCAAAAGCTCTCCAAACACTATTTACCTTTTTTAAAGTTCTACTAACAGCTTGCCATCCTCTGATCTTTATCTTGCTGTTGTATGCCATGTTTAGGTTGCATGTTGATTTGTAGTATTCAATCATTTCCAGCAGTGAAACAGCACCCTACAAATTACCAGCCATTTTTTTTTTTACAAAATAGAAAAATTATGAATTTCAAAACAAAACAATAATCGTAATTTCTTTCAAAATACCATGTAAAGGAGAGAACAATACACAAAAGTAGAGCCTCCTGTACAATCAATTCTAAGGATTGGGAAGTGACTGCTTGAGTGCATTAATTTCCCCCTCCATTGTTTCTCTACAACCAATTGCCATTCCATTGTCTGGAATTTATGGTATTGATTGTAAATAACACCTAAGCTTAGTGTTGATATGTATTGTTAACTTGTGGAGAATTTAGTGTGATCACCTTTCACTACATAGTGTTATGTAACTAGCAGTATAAATATATTCTGTTGTCCATGTTATTTTCATTAGGTCAAGTTAAGTGGTGACTAAAGTTCTTTCATGTTCCTTTTATAACATTGTTCTTTGCTGAAACACAACAGCATTGCCACCCAGCAAGGGGAAAGTAAAGTCAGCAACATTGACCCAAGCGGCCAGCCTTGTTGCAGCTTATTCCAGTTTCCAAGAAGCCTCAGAGAGTATGGCCAATTCCCCTTAATGGTGCCAGTCCATCACAGATTACCAAACTGCAGTTTGCCAAGTATCCCAATAGTTCATTTCACGAAGTTAACCTTTATTTACTAAAGAAAGCCTTGCATTCATTTCTCTCTTGCACTCATTCTTCTCTTGCACAGTGTATTTATCATATACTTCAAATATGAAAATGGACATATTTCTAGTGATTATTAAACATAGAAAAGCAGAACTTCCTGCGGACAAGAGCCAAGGCTTGGAATACAATGACTGTTAGAGAAGCCACTTCTCATGCAATTCACATAATTTATATGACAAAAAAAATACAAAACAAATCCAAATGAACTCACATCATCCTCAAGTCCTGTGTTTTCAAGATCCAATGTCTTGGTTCTCACCCTTCTGAACACTTCCTCCAAAGCCTCACAGTTCCGTGGGTCAAGTTTAACACCTACAAGTCAAAGAAGCTGTTAACAAAAGCAGTAGAAACTGAAATTTTGACAGTCAATTATTAAAACAATTTAGGGCAGTCTATTTACCGGTACAGTACCTCTCAAGTCGATTACATCTATTCTGTCTGCAAAACTCTCACAAGCCTGCATAAAAGAAAGATTTTTATGAGTCAAAGCAATGAATGCCGTGAAAGAGACGACTCATAACAGCAACTCAGACCTAGATGCATTAATCCAACATATTTCTGGTTTGAAATAACCAAATTTTCCCAAAACTGTCTTGATTACAGGTCATGGAAAAATTCTAACTATGGGCGAGCCTTCCACAAGTCTCTTACAGCATATATCTGAGTGGTAGTGCATTCACAGTACTAATTAGACCATCCATTCCAGGTCATAGGTTCCACTCCTATTGGGAACACTCAAAGTTCTTTTTTCTAAGTATGCCTGTGTCTTTCATTGAATAATATCATTTTCCACTAAGTAGACAAATGGATTCAAACCCTTTTCTGAGGGGCACTCTGTAAAAAACTTATGATTTACTGTTCCATGACCTTTGAAGTGCATCTGCCATTCACCGTAAACAGCTTCACGATTGTGTAAAGCACAGAAATATACAGAAGCAAGAAAGCTTTGTTTTAAAAATACCTCAAGCTGTTTAATGAGCTTTTCACAAGGTTTAATCTTCAGTCTGATGCATGTACTTCTATAGGCATCTATTACTTCTTTACTGCTGTGATGTCCAGCTGAAATGTAAGCATATTATGACAAATTTATTTTTAAGAGGAGAGGACAGACAGAAGACTCTTGAACTGATAAGCCTTGGAACCAATGGATCTCTTGAATCTCTCTGGCTATATGTCATTGTGCAAAAAGAAGTTGTGGTCTTACTCGTTTCAGCAAGTCTCAAAAAACACAAAATTTGCAAAAAATTTTTGTGGGTTAGGGAAACAAAAACATACTCTTTTAAGTGACACTACAGAGCTCCTTACCACATCAATTGCTTTGAAACTTAAGATGGCATGTATTTTAAGGGACATGCAAAGAGAAAGCAAAATTCACTTTTTGGTGAGTTAAAATCATTGACCCAATTATGCCAATTAACCTGTCATTATTTGGTTCAAATTTATCAATAAACAAACAAAAATAAATGAATACATGCATTAGTAAATATTAAACATTGATAAGCAAATAAGACCCAGGTTATGGAACTAATTTTGCACTGCAAATACCCTTCTGGCCTTGGCTATATCTAACAAGTATCTAAGGAGCTTGCCTACAATTGCCCTTTCAATTAGAAAATGCTAATGATGTGGGTTTTTCATGGACAGCACATTGCTTAAGGTTCAAATGCACTTCACACCTTTTGGCAGGGGGAAATTTTTGCCACAGTGCATGTGACAGTTTATAAAGAATGGAAAAATATCATTTAACAAATGCCATGAATTTCCTAAGAGAAAAAAAGACAGAGTTACACCTCCAAGAACTTCAAACCCTGCCATTTGCTATAAGCTTTTACAAGGTGTTTTTTTCTATGAGGATTAGACAGTTTGAAGGTCACAAATCACTCATGCCCTGTAGGAATCCACTGAAACAATTTGCTCATTCAGTTTTTTTTAAACTTTCTTGTTCAATTAAAAATAACAATGTATTTCATGAGGAAAAGGTTTCAACTGGGTTTCGTAACCCTGAGTTCCAAAGTTTATCATGAATATAAATGAAGATTGAGTACTTTTGGTTTCTGAATGCTTGATTTTGATTGCTGGTTATAACACACTGTAATCATGGTTGAGCCTTCAAAGATATATCTAACTTTGATAATATCTTTAAAAGATTTCATTCCATTTTTATTTCAATCAGAAGATAAATCGATTTTTTTAATTTTTGACATTTTCTTAAGCATTATTTCCAGCAGCAATGCAGTCAGGGGCCTGAGGTTTTCTTCATCAATCCCAAACAAAAAAGTGAAAAATTATGTTATCATTTGACCAGTTTCAGATTAACATAAATTTGGGACTATGTAGTAAAATAATGCGCTCACAGATTTTTCATTTTCCGTTCCTAGAAAAATGTTGGAGACCTTTCTAAGAAGAGAAGTAAAATTCCACATTTCATCATTGCGGTTTAAACAAATCAAGCATCAAAGAAAATACGACCACCACAACGAACGTCTGTTTATCACATGAAAAAATAACGTACATATACCAACAATTAGAGAAATACCGCCTGAACCGGAAATTTGCTATTCCTTCATACATTTCGTGTTCTCGTTTTCACGATTTGCGCTCGATGTCGCGTAATACTTCGGGCAAAATGCCAGTACTGATTCATTAAGCTTTTGAAGCACATAAATGAATATATAAACGAGATTTAAAGAGCGAGAAGTTCATTCCCAATTACTGCCCATTATAAGCGACTAAAATGTTACGCTCACCGCTATACTCAAAGACATAAACGAGTGATAACGAAAACGTTCTTCAACCCGGCTTCGGGAGCAAATAGTTTGCAAAAAAATAAGCCATGCATACAATAGAAAAAATGCAAGACAAACCAAGTCACGCAAATCAGAGCTCACCGATTTAAAGCACGAAGACCAATATTTACATTTTTTTAAGTCACCCTATGGAGTGAAGGCACACTGGAGCTCAACTAAAATTTAAATTAACGCAAGTCTATTGGCATATATTGATGTGTAGTTCACCATAAAATGAAATCATCGAGTGCTTTGGACTAACCATTTTCCCACGGGTCAACTGGGTCCACAGCCCGGACTAGAAAGGCATCTTCAGGGAAGGAAACCTTTCTTGAAAGCTTCTTCTTCCGACTGGTTCGATGATCCTGCCGACGTGCAACTTCACGTATACCGCCTTCGCAATTACTCGGTCCACCGCGAGTTCCTTCCTCAGATGCCAAAACATCCTCACCTGTTTCCATAATTACTCATGGCTTTAAAATCAAATCCATCATAAGTAAGTAGCAAGGTAATAAAACCAGGGAAACTTCCTGTTTTCCAGTACCGAGCCTCAACTTCTCGAGGGAGCCATTTTGAAAGACACCCTTGACGTGGAGGACTGGGCTTGAATCACCTTCTTCATCGTGCGTTCCGTGACATGTGTTATACGACGGGAACGTGAATGTGATAACTCACGATGACATAATATACCCTAGTGGATGCTCTTTGCAAGGTTAGCATCAAATTATAGGCTATGAACCGTTAGGAGTCTTTCGCCCTCTGGTGTTTTATACAGGTCCAGTTTTCAAAATCTTATTTGTCCCATCCTAACTACTTCGTACTTCCAAACACAATTCAAAATGACTGCCTCGTATAATTATACATTTTTTCTCATCGGACCAAAAGCTAAAATCTTCGAATCTGTTTTCTGTTTTCTTCGAATCTGTTTTTTTTCAGCGCCATTCACAGCAGAGCAGAAAAAAGTTAATTCGCCTTAAATACTTAAATATAATTTTTTTTTTATGAATAAAGAAAAAAAATTCCTTGTCATGGGCTTGCGTTGAAAATACAAGTCATGTCAGACTGAAGTTTATAAACATGATATTAGATTCATCCATAATTTTTTACATATTGCTCACGTTTTCAATTACCTCTGTGAAACTGCTTTATATCGTTTTTCCATTTTTGTTGAGTTAGCTTAAATTTATGGGCTTGTTTTTATTATTGTTAAGGTTATACGGAATTACCTCAACGGAATTCCCATCCTTTGCCAACACAATATTGCGTGAGGAAATTTTGTGTCAATTACACAACCAAATGAAAGCTATTACCCACACTTCCTTGCAAGTGGACGCTGTGTTTTACGCCATTTTCTCCTGAACATCTCTTAGGTGTCTTGGCTGATGTTCTATAAACAGAGCTCTTTTGCGGGCAGAGTAGTCTCTGCCGAAGCTACCACCGCTTATCAACCACAGGTTAAGTATCAACTTACTGAAAATCTTTAGTTAGATTGTTAATTGCTCACACAAATTAAGTTTTAAATATCAGTTTTTAAATATAGTTTCTTAACATACGATAATATAACACTTATCAGTTTTCGACCCGGATTGTTTAATTTCTTTAGGGACTTGGAAAATATTCAGAGCCGAAAGCAGGTCCAGTTTTCGAGACTCCAATGTCGTCCTCTTCAGGAACTTTGGGTGGAAGTAACGTTCGTCAGTGGCAGGAGACCTTTAAGGTAATATAAAGAAAGCAGTCGGAGACATTTTTCGACAACAAGCTTATATCAACGATCATTGTATATTGGCTTTATGTAGGTTACTCGTGTGTAAAAGACGAAAAATCATCACTTTTACTCAATACAGGAGGCTGTAATTTATCATAATATTTATATCCTTGTACTAGTCATGCCGTCATGCAGGAATTTTTCACCAGACCTACCTGATGAGTTACACGGAGAAAAATAAATTGCTAAGCGTACTGACTCAGTGTTTGGCTCCATTCATGTCAATCACTAGGCCTCAGTTGTTTCTAGGAAATAAGAAAAGCCGCATTTAACTCTGTAAGATTAACCTCTGGGAATTTTGTCTCAGTTACCTCTTAGAGACCATGTAGTAGATAAAAATAGAAAAACAAAGGGTAAGGTCATTAAATGAGCCTAATAACCTATCTGGCCAGAAATCATCCCATTTTTTCACACAGAACAGTTTCTAACCGTCTGTTGGAAAAATTAAACCATAGTAATCACAGTGACCCAATCATAACAAAGGTTATCATTAGCCAATGAGAACTTAAAATAAAAACAAACAAACCACCAAAAGAGCAGGAAAATGCAATTGACCACTTGGGGCGAGCTTTCTGGACCAATCACAGAGCAAATTTGATGAAACTATTGTAATCTCTTGTTATTTTTAACACTCGTGTGAAACCTTCTCTAATGGGATGAAAAGAAGTATTTCATCTCCCCTTGGGTGGGTTGCTAATCCACCACTCATTACACTTCAGCCTTCACCAAGTTTATTCAACTGTTCACTATTACCAATTTTCATTCCTGGTCGGCATTCCTGGTCGGAGAGAGGTTATGTGAGAGTCAAAGCTTGAACCTGAACACTAAACATTAGGCTACCAAGTTTTCCTCATCAATGAAGCTTACTATTATTTAGTGCAACACATCCTTTAAGAAATGATTTTTTATAGTGAAGCTAGTCTATGCTTGATACATTCCCTCTAGGAGCTGACCAACTTAGCATTATTAAGTTACCAGAGATATGGTGGACCAATGATTTTACACCAAGGACCCCAGAACTAGATATCAAACTTTTTTATATGAAAAGTAACATCCAAAGATAGTAGTAGCTACCTTGATCAGTTTGAATCATGTTTTAATTAAAGCAGTAGTCTGTACTTCAGCCAAGTGCCTCACCCACGGGGAACTTATCCCGCTTTCCATAGCATGAAGCTACAAGGGGTACACTTCTCCCCCCGGGATGGGATGCCACTCCAACACAAGGCTATCCCCCAGGATTTTACCAGGCTTCCCTGACATTTTGCTTGTACCAATTTATGCTCCTGGGTTAAAAGAGATACCTTGAGAGTGAAATGTCTTGCCCAAGAACATAACACATTGACAGGTCTCAAACTCTGAACCCTCAACCCAGAATCCAGTGAATTAACCATAAGGCTACCACGTCTCCCACTCATGTTTTAGACACAATTTTCCCCTCTTTTTAATTACAGCTATATTTCCTTGTACAACTCATGACATGCAAGACAACTATGACTAAATATACATTGACATTGAGGAAAAAGACACAATGATTATCTTTAGAAAAGTAAGCATGTTTAGCACTATAACAACCCTGTACCACTTGAATCACTGTGCTTTAACTTCTAACAATTTCTTCTTGATTTATTCCTGGTTTTGATAGCAATCAAAAGCTCCAGTGTATCTGCTGAGGGGTACAAGAGATAAGATTATCTTTAGGGGTCTTATGGGTGTTCTACCTGTTGGAATGGGTGTTGCAGCCTACTACTACTACATGATGGCCACTGGTAAACTGAAGAGAAAGGAAAGATGAAAGTGACTGGAGTCCAAGCTAATTTTCATCATTTAAAACTACTTCTGTCAAAATTTGTGCATTTTAGAAGGAACTTCATTTGCTGCTTTGATTGATCTAAGTGAATACTAGTCAAAATATATTCATTCTCCAGTGCTATTTTGGTGCAGAATTGTTGTTGGAACTTTATGAAGGATTAATTTGTAATATAATAGACACCTCTATGCTTCTTTTTCTTTACTTGAGGTTAGTAATAATAATAAAGTACTTTTAACTGACTGTATATGTTTTTTTCATTTTTTTTATTGAGAGAAACTTGAGGTGCTCGTTGTGAATTCTCATCTCTCTATGCATGCAAATCATTGACAAATTCATGAAAAAAAGAACAGACGATCTTGCATAGCAGTTCCTATTTTGGCATATGCATAAAGAAATGTATGTAGTACTTGCAATAAGAAAAGAAATTCATGCAGTGATGGGATGAATGGTGATTATTTGGCTTTAATGGGATTCACAATTATCAATTATTTGATGAAGCAGTAGTAATTCATCGAGCTGTGACGAGGCAATTGTACTACAGAAAAATCCTGATAACTTGAACCCTCATGAACTGAAACCTTGCTGTGACTCAAACCAAATTTGATTTCCTCTGTATTTCCATCATACATTTACTGCAATTTTACCCTTGCTAACTCAAACCCTTGATAACTCAAACCCTCTGTGACTAAAACTTCCCTCTTATTGGGAGCAATTTTAATTTCAGGACATCCTCTATACATATTTTACCCCTGATACCTCCTATGGCATGTTGAACCACGTCTGTCAATACATGACAAACTAAAACAAACAGTCTGCTGCAGTCCAAAACAAATTACATTATGTCCATTACAGTTTCCGCGGTTTTTTGTTACATTTTCACCCAACTACTCTATGATTAGATTTGATGAACATGTATCCTGTTTGAAAAGAAAAAACAATTTTTGTAATTTTTCCAGTCTTTCCAGTAACTCCTCCTTTGTTTGCTGTCCGCAAGGGATAAGGCTCTGAAAATTAGCCCTCTGGAAGCGAGATGACATGGAGTCTTCGACAATCATGCGCACGCAAACTGTTTGACGTCATAATGAGAGTAAGTTATTTCTCCAGAAAGAGAAGATGTTTGGCGTGAGGGGAAAAGTGAAAGTGTGCAATTTTGTACACAACGACGAAATATGGTAAGTCTGACTTTTTTGTGTGGTCCCTCATAAATTTCCCCAACTGTAGGCGATATAAGTGCCGAGCAATTTGGTTAGAAGTTTCATTTTTGGAGTGGATCGGTTATAAATCGGCAACAATGATGACTGTGGTATCCTCTACCAATATCCAAAAATTGACTCAAGCCATTTTTTGTGCTGAAAAGTTGCAGACGACTTCGAGTCGTTTTGCACCCAAAAGCAAACTTTTCATTTCTCTTAAGCTCGATGGTCTATTGGTAGCCAATCAAAATAGAGAGAAATACAAGGAGCCAATGAGAAACGAAATAAATGAGTATAAAAGAAATTAAGCGCGTGAAAGGTAGTAGATTAATTTATACTTACATCTGATTGATTGAGAAGGTAGTGAGAGTTTTCAAGCCAAATCACAGAGCACTTTGAAGAAAAAAGAGCGTATTGTGTATACAATTATTTTACTTTATGTTCACTTTTCACCAGACGCGGCATTAAAAGAACTTCGTTTGCTACATTATTCATCAAAGATTTGTAATGTCCGCTGATACCGATTCCAACACCAAAAAAGTACCATCCGTCTTTTGAGTCGTTCTTTGGCTACAAATTGGTGTCCATGCCCTGGCTTTGCCAAAGAAGTTGTGGAATTACTACTCAAAAGAATGCCCTCCGTCATTCCCCCACCACACCAAGATTTTCAAGGCAAAATCCCCTACCCGCCAACCCCCCCCCCTCCCCCCATATTCTTTTAACATTGGAATTTCTCTTTACCTGAAAAAACGTTTCTTGTATTCTTTCTTTTTTCAATCGATTACAGGAAAGATCATGTAAATAGAGAACTCCTCTCTCAGAGGCGATGGCCGGATAAGTGGGGATTTCTGGCTAATGAATACCATCGGGTAAGCATGTTCTGTAGAGCGCCCTGCACGTCATTGTGTAGAGGGACGGAAAATGTCAAGTAGGGAGCATTCAGGCTGACAGAGTTGCGTCAAAACGCGAGAGTACTGATAACTGGATCAAATACTATTGAGATGCAAGGAAACATTTTCAAAAGAGCTGCATTGTGATTTTCTGCTTCGTTTTTCACGTGTGATGTAACAAAGCTATGGCCAATTCGTCAAAGCACATAATTAACAAAAACAATGTCCTCGCTGGTGAACTCCCGAGAGTGAACTTTTCATTTCTTATTAGTACTCATGCTTTTGCGCGTAATATCTTTTGGAACATTTCATTGAAAATTTCAGACAACGTTCCTTTCATATCATTGCGATTTAGTTACAGCTCGAGACACTGAGAATCGGCCAAGATGAGTTTGAGGTGGATGAAGAACGTAAACAAGAAAGCCTGGTGACTAGTACAGAGAGCGAAGAGAAAGATGGTACAGAACAGGCTCAGGTGTTGCTTGGCAACGCCAACAAGATGCCATTTCCAGAGACCACGTCACAAATAATTGGACGGAAGGCCGAGATGTCGCAAAGAAATGAGATCGAACGCAATGCTCGTGGAAAGCAAGACATAGTTAAGTTATTTAAATGGCCACGTGAGGGTTTGTAAAGGAATAAGACATCCGAAGTACAAAATAAACTGTGTTATGAACTGAATCCTTTTTGAGACTTTCTCTAATATACCAGTGTATGAAAGCGAACCTAACTTATTCCCAAGTTTTTGTAGTAGCAAAGATATTGGCCTGTAGATTTGCCCATGTCTGGTTTTTTAATTTGCGAAAACCACGACTCTTCATTTCTTCCGCTAAATGTGACACCTGGAAATTTATTACAAGGACTAGCAATTTTTTCCTCGTTTTAGTACTACCTGAAAGAACTTTGGAAAAATATGGCAAAATTTGCGTTTAAAAAGTATCCTGACAAAATGTTAATTTTATCATCAGCATCAATATCCATTGGAGGGCTTTTCGATTGAGTGTCTAAAACAGGGTAATCACAACGGTCGATCAGAATAAGAGGAAATAACTTTAAGAACCAATGAGAACGCAGAGTGAAAACAACCAAGCTGCCTCAAGCGCGGGAAAAGGCGAGTGACCATGTCACTTCCGATTGGTTGGGAGAGCGGTGCGAGTTTTTTACCAATCACGGAGCGAAGTAAAACTAAACCAAAGCAATCTCGGATTACTATCGACATTCTATTAAAAATTGCTCTATACGGTCCAAGTAACAGTGAATGCACCCGACTTAATGAGGTTCTCTCCTATTTTCAAGTTTCTGATCTCGTTACTTGGTGGTAGATTTATCCAAGGTCGTTCTCCTTTAACAGCATCATCTCCCAGCCATCGTGTAGAGAAAGCTCGTCGAGGCGTCTCTAGATTATTGCCATGCGCACCGTGAACTGTTTTCATGTGGAAAACAATGCAGTCTCCCGGCTAAAGAAAAAAAATAGATGAAATATAGAGATCATCATCGGCTGCCTTTCTTAGCTTGATGGATATTTTATTTCAGCCGGGAGAAAAGCATTCACATTACAAAAGTGCTGTGACACTTAGAGGAATACACGGGAATGTAATAGGTTCGCCGAGAACTGAAGAAGTTGTCAGTTACGTGATAATGAAATCTGGGAGAACATTGGGTCAACTAAATCTAATTTAGAGGCCTCATATTAAAGATTCCCAATCTCCTTGGTACCATTATTTCAGTTTTTTAAAAAAAAACTCAAGCTATCTAGTCGCTAACTTCGCAGTTAATTAAATGTGGTAAATGTTGTGGAGTTAAATGATGCTACAATGTTTGCTTACGTAGGCAAAATTCATGACGCAGGATTGGCGATTTCAGCATCTTTCTAGGGTCTAAAACATAAATGAGATCTGAACAATCAACTTCTAAGTGATTTATCCAGTGGATTTCGCTATCCACCCTTCGAAAAATCAGCGTTAGATTGACAACAGTAGGTTTTATTCGGACGGCGGGGGGAGGGTGAGGGGGGTTTTCTAAGGGCTAACCCACCTCCATATTCCAGGACAAGACTTGATATTGGTCGTTTCCATCAACATCTGGTGTCGAAAGAAATTCATCAGCTCTCTTTTCTTTTCCAGGCTTTGTTTCGTAGGACGTAAAAGGAGGGCCGTCAAAATGAACAGGTTTAAAGTAATGTGGAAACTTGTGAGAACCTTTCACAAGACGAAGACAGGTGTGTTCGGAGACTGGGTCCACTGGGAGCCACACAGAACAAACCTGAGTAAGCAAATATCTTTTTATAAGAACAAAAAACGATAAAATAACGACCTCCAAGGCTATGCCAAATAATTTGATTGATTTTTTTTATAGTGACCATCATTATTCTGAATCTTCAGCGGTATGAGAGCAGAGATTGCGACGTGTAAAAGTAACCCGGGATCATTTGGGATGGCATTGTTTTGATCGGTTAAGAAGATTCACGCCAACCTCTCGACCAATCAAATGCAAAACTAAACTTTGGTTTCTCATTGGTTCCTTTTGACATTTTGGTCTGATCGGCCGTTAAAATAATTTGGTTTTTGTTTGACGATGCTCAATCGAAATACTGTGTTCTATCAAGTTTTTATTCCTTACCTTGTAAAAATTGTTTCAGCGCATTTATATAAGTCAAACAGAACTTACATAATTATTCCTAAACCGTAGTCTCGTACCCAGATCTTTCAAGACCAAGCGGTTGTACATCTCATTTAAAGTTACAAGGTAAGATCTGGGTACGAGATCAGCCAAACCGACCATAAATCACAGGTTACACATGCCTGTTTTCCATCAATCTCATAATAAGCCTGATCCTGGTGCCATGGAGTTTGTTTGGTTGATCCGCTGTCTTTCACAATCACGTGATTGGAATACAGCGCAGCTACCTAAGGAGATTAACAATTGACAATAAAGCTGAAAATGTGGTGACATCTCTTGCAAATGACTACTAAACGCCAGGCAGTTAAGAGTGGCATTTAAATTTACAGGAGCACGTGTTGAATAAGGATATTTTTTTGTACAATTACAGAGGTGAAATCTGGAGGGGGAGGAAAGCGCGATAGGATTTCTCTTCCCCATACCCCCATCTCCATTTTTTCTTCTCCCATGTTCCGCGCAAACACCTGCCACAAAGGATGGGCACCATGTGTTAAGAACGCTTTTAATTAGGTGTGGAGAAAAAAACCGGATTGCTTTGGTTTTGCTTTGCTACTTTTTGTAAAGAGGTCTGGAAAAACCGCGCCGCGGAAGGATATGGTTAGCAGTTTCCAACGCTAAAACAAGTCGGTGTCATGCAAAGCAAACTGGCGACTCCCTTACCGAAGACTGAAGAAGTCGTCCTGTTATTTCGCCAACTGGGGAATGGCGAATGAACTCCTCGTATTCAGGAATATTTTTCCAGTTGCTGTAATCGTGAAAGAAGAGAGGCGTGTGGCCCTTACGTCTTGTCATATCGGATGGGTGGAGCCTATTGAATTCAATCCCTCTTCGCAAGAGATCAATCCATCTATGACTGAAAACAGCTCTTAAACAAAGAGCCCCATCCTCTTGAAAACGAAGGATTTCCTTCTCTGTGATCGTGTTTGGGGGCAATCTTTCCATTCAACTTTCGTGGTACACTTAAAAGAAAATATAAATACATTCTCGTGGATATCTCAGAACAAGTTATAACAAAACATGTTTGAGACAAAGGCTAGGTTCCCCGTAATTCACTAAGCATGAATGAGGTTCATTTGTCGGCAACAACTGGTATCTGAGTGAGAGGACGACAGACCAAAATGCAACCTAAGACAATTTTGATTTGTACATTCGCAAAAACAACAATACCAACAAACATAGAAAAAAAAGGAATCAATAAGATCCTGCTCATCCCAAACTTGAATACAAACTCGACCTTTTAGGATCTGACTGGCAATCCCACCCACTCATCCCCCCCCCTCTCCTCCCCTTATAACTGCGTTGTAACAGAACAACACCTCAAAAGCATTTCATCGGAAAGCTGATGCTACCGGAATTTAATTTACTCGTTGATTCGATAGTTGGTCGGGATGACAAATGGAATCTTGTGAAAAGCAAGAAATGCACGAGGTACAACTTTGTCCCCAGGGTCCTCTCTCTTCCCTAAGGGAGGAAGAGAGAGGACCCTGGGAAAGAGCTTGGGATACCTTGGATTTAGATTTCGTTACAAGTTAGATTTTAAAAACAATTTTTACGGTGACAGTAATTCACGATTCAATCCCTTTCAAATTCTTGGCAAACTTTATCTTTAGATCGAAACCATGCTGGCCCCCCTCTGTTATCAACGGTAGACATAGTTTCCGGGTTTACGCTGATGTTCACTCGATATGATTGGAAATGTTCCAAATCACAGAAATATATAGAAATAAGGAGCTTAAAACTATGACGAGACGGTAAAAACGATGGTAAATAAGATGAGAAAATTTGGTGTTAAAATGTAAAAGGGTATTCACAATAATAGCGCTGAGTGACTCAATGGTTTGAGTATTCTTGAGGACAATCCCCGGATTCGAGAGAACGCTTTCTCCTTATTCCATAAACATAAAATGCTATGACATCTGGCAAAAAAGCCATTTCAAATGTACTTTTATCAATTTGACCAATCTCTTTTTTTAGAAAAGCAAAAATTTGTCAAGTTACAGTAAATTAAATACTTCAAAAGATATTGCAAAGCGAAAGTGATCTACTTAAAGATGAATCAGACACTTGCGTTTGAAAAATAATCTTCGTATGTCAACATTCTCAGGTGAGAAAATCAAACGACTGATTCCACCAACCTTTAGATGTCTAGACAGCTCCACAAGCGCAAGGCATACCGCGAAAGAATCGAATAAAGTACCTTCGCTGCCAGTTACTGGCCTTGATCGCGTGACTTTGATTTCTCCTCACGCGTGATTACTTCCGCTTTTGGTGCATTCGTGCGTGAATACTGAGAAGTTGTGGTACACTTCTAAAAAGTGAGAATTAAACTTATATCTTCTGAACGGATGCCAAGTCTCAGCCAGCACATCCAAGTTCCACCGGTGATAATAATCGTAAGCCAGTGAAATGTAGCTCTTCAGACTGTTGGTGCCTTCTCCAGAAATTAAGATCGGACTGTCCTTTGGTTCAGTGTATCACAAATTATGTGTCGATGGACATCATGGCAAATACTCTCCTTGCGATCGGAGCGTCCCCTGCCATGGTACACGGTGGGTTGAACATTTTAATGTTAACTAATGAAGGAAACTTAGAGAAGTTTATGACGTCAACGACAATTTTTTAGGAGCGGAGAGTCAGAGGCTATGTTGTGGAAGAAGAGCATTATATCTACAGACACAAAAACAAAATTTTCTCTCCCGACAATCTTTTTCAGGACTTGTGCAAGCGGAAAAAGTAAACAGGGAAGGAGGATTGAGGTCGCTTTTTACAACTCTGTTTCTCTGGACTTCAGAACAACTTCTGGATTCTAAATTTTAACTTTTTTATACGAGAATGACTCCGTAGATACGTACCTGGGCTCAGATCTTTGGAGACATCAACTGAAAACATAGAATGGCCGGATAAATAACAAATTACGCAATTATAAAAAAATATGATAAATTTTCCGAACAGACTAACATAAAAACTTTCATTATTCAGCTGAAGAAGAAGTGGAAGAATTTGTCACCTTGGCCTCTGCACTGCTGATAAATATTGGAACTCTTTCTACACCTTGGATCAGGTCAATGCACAGGGCTGCAGCAAAAGCTCAGGAATTGGGGAAGCCATGGGTGTTAGACCCTGTGGGCGCAGGTGCCACCAGCTTACGGACAAACACTGCAACAGACTTGGTTGTTTCTTATAAGCCCACTGTGATACGAGGCAATCCCTCTGAGATAATGGCTCTTGCCAAAAGTATTTGCAAAGGACTTGATCTTCAGCCGTCAGGTATGGTAATGATGTAAATTGCTTTTGATCACTGCAAATTGCAATTCTAGAATTTTCATCAATTTAGCTGTCAATCATCATGGAGCTAACCATTGTGCCACATCCCCCAACCCCACCCAGGAGACAGTGGTTTAATGATAAGTGTGATGGTTTCTGGATTATATGGTCATTGTGGTGGGACAGGTCATTGTGTGTTCTTGAACAGTCATAACAGGAAAATCTGACCAAAGGCTTGCTGCAAACCGTAATGAAGAAAGCACAACTTTCCAAATTGGTTCCAAAGTAGGCTTCAGCTGCTTTATGACTCAGTCTTGTATAAAGAATTTACCATTCACCAAACTTGGGGTCATGTTTACACCAACAGTCAAATTTTTTGTTAGCAGACATGAAAGTTGATATTGGGGTTAACCCTTCAACCTCCAAGAGTGATTAGCATCTAATATCTCCTTACAATATCACCCTGATTCAAACAGTAAGGTCATGAGAATAAAGGAAATGATCAACAAGTAAGAAAGCTCTTAATTGTTTGACAAGCACCATTGGAATTGTATAGAGAACAGCCTGGAGAACTAAGATACTAATGTTAGGTGTTGAGGGTTCGTGGAAGAGGGGTTTAAAATTAGTGATAATGGTGATCACATCCTGTTTAGATGGAGCTCAAAAAGGAGTTGACAGTTCTCAGAGTTCCGACCATGCCCTTGGGCCTGCCAAGGCCTTGGCCAAGGAGTGCTGCTGTGTTGTTGTAGTGACAGGAGAACATGACTTTGTGACAGATGGCTCTAGTGTGATCACTGTATCAAATGGTCATCCAATCCTTACAAAGATAACTGCAGCTGGATGCACTTTGACAGCTGTGCTGGCAGCATTTGTTTCTCTGGGGGATCCCACAGATGTAACACATGTGATCAAAAGTTGTGCTTGTGCACTGAGTATCTTTGGAATTGCAGCAGAGCTAGCTGTTGAAGATCCAATAGCTAAGGGGCCCGGTAGTGTCAGAATGCGTATGCTAGATACCTATGGCAGATTTAATGCACAAACCTTGTTGGAAAGGGAAAAAATTTCCTTTCCTTCCTAAATTTCCTAATTTCCTCTACACACCGCCAAGATCATATTTGTAAATTCTTGTCTACAGTGGCAGTGGCAGTGGAAGTCCTTGTAAATTAGTTACAGGAATTAAGTAAGGGAAAAGTGTCAAAAGAATTTGAACATCAGACTAATTAAAATTAGCCAAGAGCATTTTGACCACCAGTTCTGAGCCAGTTACCCATCAATTGTAATCTCTTCAAACAAATAAGTTCACAAATAGTTTAGTATGTCTATTGAGTTAACCTAGGATATTTGCAAATTTATTTTAAATTAATATTTAATAATATTTTACATACCATTTAGAATAAGAAAAATTGCCTCTGTACTTTAAAATACTGACCCTGCTTACATAATTGGGATACTTAACAAAATGGACATATCTTAATCTGCTAGTATACCATGCATGACTTTATTACTTACCTCAATGCCTCACAAATGTAAACTTTATTTTAATTCTGGTACATGATATATGCTGAAATAACTTTTACATTACAAAATACAGTAGAGACTGGATAACTTGATCTGCCATCGGAAACAAAGAACGGTTGAAATCCCATCTTGTTCGAGTTACTAAGAGGTTTGAGTTCACTGAGTTTGAATTGGTGAGGTTCTCCTATATCAGGATGACACAGTTTTCTCTTGGAACACGTCAGGCCAGTATTTCTACCTATCATTTGTTTTTGAGATGCTAGCCACTAAAAGAAGACAAAGCAGAAAAAAAAATGGTTGAAATCGCATCTTGTTTAAGTTACTGAGAGGTTTGAATTCACTTAGTTTGAATTAGTGAGGTTCTCCTATATCAAGATGACAATGTGTTCTTTAGGAACACGTCAGGCCAGTATTTCTACCTATCATTTGTTTCTGAGATGCCACTAAAAGTACACAAAGCAGTTGTCAAATAGCAGTCTTAGATTGAAATAAATTTTACCTTCACCCAGTCTTGTATCAATGGCTGGCTACTAATTATCTGGAGAACACTTATGACAATATTTCATGAGATTTAAGTATTAAATAATCTTCATATCATGGAGCCTTAACCAATACATTATTCTACATGGCATCTTTCAAACATCCAGTTTTCTGTGTACAAACTTAAATACCTATTTGAATTGACCCAAATAATGGAGTTTAATTAATAATGGAGTTTAATTCATGTGTTGAATACTAAAGTCAAACTTGCGCTTAAATGAAGGAAGGGATCACTGAGCACAAAAGTAAATAAAATTCATTCAAGAGTTGAAAAATCAAATCAAAGTAACTTCAAAAGTGACCTCCTCATAAATGCCACTTGAACTCAATTCTAGGGTTGACCCAGAATTAGGTGATTTACTCTGCTTTTGTACATTGAGTACATGAAAAGTTTGATGTTTTTCTGTCTGGCATATTCTACATCTTTTGCGACATCTAAATGGAATCAATTTGCCCCTACCATTCTGCCTTTGCTTTTCTAATTCTGTGATATGGTAGGCACAGACTTGTTGCCTTAAGTTTGTTATTTACTTGCAACAAGGCCATATGTCTTTGATAATAAAATAACCCTATTTATTCAGCATAGAAGACAACTAGTTTAGGGTGAAGAGGCTGTATCAACCATAACTGGTTATCTTTGTCTTGCTCTCCTAACTCTTGGTCTGGCAGGTTCAGCTTGTTGTTTGGCTGCAGCTCTTCCTCGAGTTGCTCTGACTGGGTTGGCTTTAGATTTCTTAGCTGGAGGTGACACACTTGTGTCCTCTGACTTGCGCTTCTGCAATTCATAAGAAAATAATATTTATATAGACAAGAATAGGACATTTAAAATATATTCTTTACTCACTGTAATCACTAAAAATATTTTAAAAAATTATGATAAAATCCTTAAAAAAAACTGAACACATTAAAAAGGCTAATAAAAATCTAAGAAAAACTAACAGATATATGCTCTGGTTACATTTACTTCTTGAACTTTAAAGAAGGAGAAGAAAAAAAAGTAATAATAGCAATGTGAAGATATATAGGACATATATTATATATAAGAAGTAATAATAATAAAAATGATAATAATAATACTAATAATAATAATAATGATAATAATAATAATAATAATAATAATAAAAAAAGTGGTTTAAACCTATTTTGCTGATAGTTACATCCAGTATATTATTTTTAGTTTCCATTGATTGGACATATAATGGGACATGGAATGGAAACACTGTAAGCATTGACATTGGTCCTTATTGCCAGGTTTTTTTGACACCTGCTTGTGGGTGAAAAAGCCAAAACACAAAGATGGAAAATGACTGTTTCAGGGTAGAAAAAATAGCACAACTTGTTGACAAGGAATTTGTTGCAAATCATTTGACACCCACAAGTGCCCAAGACAGAATTTCTCCTGATAATATCAATATTAATAATAACATGCAGACCTCTCCTGCTGAGCTATAACCATTGGGAAGATCAGCAGAGGCTGAGCTGGCTTTTGAGGTGGTGAACTTCACATTCTTTCCATCATCTGTACATCCCCTCTTTTTAAGGCCCTCTCTGAACAGTTTACGAATGAATTCGTAGTCTGGTTGATCTTCATATTCCAATGTGTTGATGTATTCCAAGTACTTTTGTATCTCAACTACAATGAAAGATGTGTGCATATAATCAGTTAACCATTCTCTCTTCAAAGAAGGAAGGGGAAGACTTGTACAACCACCACAATATGCTGCCCAAGAAAAAAGGACCAAACTTTGAACACACAAATTGCAAAATGAACATCAACACTGAAATAAGCCTGTATACTCCTAGTGAGGAAGACCATAGAAGATCAAATTCAAGCATATGAAAATAACCTATGCCCATAAAAAGAAGGACTCAAAATAAGGGAGGGGGGTATGCTTGGATTGTTTTAAGTTCCACATGACTCATTGAGCCTCAATTAAACTGTTGGTAATAAACATTACCTTGATGATCTCCACAAAAACAGTCCCTCATTAATTTTGGAATGTTCTTCATATACCTAGTAAAAACAAAGAGTAACCCTTACAACAATTATATTTTAACTGTCATTCCATAAAAATATGTGATATAAGCTGACATCATAACCTACTGGGAGAAGAGACTGCACAAACCTATTCTTTTCATTCCTCACATATTCCTTATCCTGAAGATTCTTTTCCCAGGGAAGTCTGTCACACAACCACTGTAGCATCACAAAACCCAGAATCTCCAAATCACTACGCCGCGAGGTGACTACAAATACCAAAGTATGATAAGTAAAATTAACAAGTTAGTTGCAGAAGATCCTCAAATAAGAGGAATTATTAGGATTACAAATCATACCCCTGGCCAGAAGGGATAGAAGCATTTAATGTGTTGGGAACAAAGTTTGTAGTCCTTGAATAACATTATTTCCTGAACATGCATCCTAGAGGGGCAAGTCTATTGAAAACTAGATTGCTCCAGGAGGAAAATGACCGGAGGTGTTTAGGTTTTGGTTTTGTTTCTTTGTTTGTTACTTAGTAAAGATGTAATGCGTTGCTAAATTTAGTATATAGATTTAGATCATTCTCCAGATTTTTAAAACCCAGTCCTAAGTATTTGACCCACTTCACTGGTGTAATGTTTGTTGTACAAACAAGTCCACCATGCAGGCAGATTATCCACAGAGCCATCCTTATTGCTTGCTCACCCACAAAGCCTCAAGGTTGTACTTGCACAGGCAACCCAGTTACAATAACTACAACAGGTGAATTAAAAATATCTATATATATATATATATATATATATATCTACTAAAAGTTTGGCAGCTGGTGATCAGCTTACCTACACCATTATGTGCATCTCTGCTGGTAAACTCTATTGTGCCATCATGTTTTCTTTTAGGGTCTTCTTTATATTCTTTGTGATTCCCATCAGGACTAAACCGATATACAAGCCCATAATCCAGTAAATAGACCTGTGGGGGGAAAAAAAATCTGATCCAAGAGCCTTCTACAAAAGTGATCCTCTGGGTTTTGTTACTGATATTCTGAGTTATGATCCACGAAATAATTTTGCTTGCACGCAATTGGTCTTAATGCAGCATGTGAATGAATATCTCCCTGCTAAAACAGGGTGATATCCACAATTGTGATGGATCAAATATTTTGGCTTGGTCTAGATGCAGCATGTGACCAAATATCCCCAGCTTAAACTGGCTTATATCCAAGGCTTAAACTGGCTTATATCCAAGAATATTACCCAATTTTCATACCACTATGACGAGTCTTTGTTTTAAATTTATTTAGTATTGTTTATACATATCTTTGGTATTTAACCACATTGACCAAACATTCAATGCTAGGGACTCTGGACTCATGTTGTTGCAAGTGATGTTGCATTAAGGTTCTCGGGCAGAGCACTTAATTCTCATTGTGCCAAGAGAATTAAAAATGGCATGTGACCATAAGCTGTCTCATGTGCGAAGGGCAGCAGTGCTTCTGGTCATTTCCTGATGTTTGATAAGCTCAAATAGCTATGTGAGCCAGTCTCGTATACAAATATAACCAGTGCAAAAATAATCTTTTGTCAAAACAAACATTTCAATTCATTTCCCCAAAGTTCTTATCAGGCATCAGTTTGTGTAAGTTAATGACTTAAGAGTACAGACATCACTTACTTGACCAGATTTTGACTTTGAGAATCCCATCATGAGATTTGAGCCTTTAATGTCTCCATGGGTATATTCATGACAGTGAATATACTCCAGAGCATCGATCTTGCAACAGAATTAAAAAAAAAAAAGAAAAAACAATTTTAAAGAAACTCTGTTATAAAGCACTAGAGTGAATTTAATACAAGCATGGATCATCATTGACCTAAGATATAAAAAAGAATTAGAAATCACACATTAAGAGGCAGACATAATACGACTAAAAACAAAGCAGACTCTCAAGTAAATGGAGGAACTTACAACTCTCAGACCAAGCATCAACACTGTTGTCACATCAAACCTCCGCTTACTGTTTAGGAAAAGCTCATCAACATCTTTCCCAAACCTCTCCAGAACTAGAAATCGCAGCTTACTGGACTCATGTTCATGTAACCCAGAACCCAAAAACATTGGAACTCCAAGATGTTTTAGACGACGCGACTGACACCAGCTTTTAACTAATAAGAGAAAAAATTTTCCTAGTCATAACATGTACCCTGATGAGATTCTAACAAGACATTACCCTTTTATCCTCAGAGTGCCCGGTATTAAATATCTTGTTTAAGTATTATCCTGAATCAAACACAAAGGTCATGAGAATAAGGCCCTTAATCAATTAGAGACAGTTTTTTTAAATTCAAAATTCAGAGACATACTTAGTTCTGGTTTAGCAACACGTTGGTAGAATGCAAGTTCTGTAAATAAAGGGCCATTGGCATGTGGCTCCTGTAAAAAGGAAAGGATATTACAATCAAATGGCAACAATGAAATCTAAAGCCTCTAATCTAAATTCATGTTCCAAATGCAAACTTGATCTGCCCATTTGATCTTTCTCATTTGGCATTTAAGTTCTGGACTCTTATGCACTCAAGAGTAAAGGTATAACAATATTGTAATTGACCAATGGTGCTATCAGCATTAGAACATTCAGATATTAATAACATTCTTACCACTTTAACAACATGTTCAGCAGTTTCAGTAACAGGTGATCCACTATCTGGAGAAGCTGTTAAAAATAATCAAACATGATTTTATACCATTTGATTAAAAGTAATATACCCAATACTCTACCCAATGCTGTGAGGGAAAGATTTCAATTCAAGCAAACTTTTGAATTTGTGAGTCCATACAGTCAAATATGGCCCCCTACATCGACCAATGATAGTGAACATACTGATTAAAAGGTTCTAATAATAAAAGTTTTCATTTTGGAAGGGCTGAGGAAGGGAGACTCATAACTGCCAATGTGCTGATGGAGGATATCCTGAGGAATCCGTTAAAACAATTTATACGCATCATTTTTTTCATACCAACCCATTCTGCACTTAAACACTCTCTTCCCAAATTATCATCAATACCAACATTGCAATGTGTTGAGATAATGCAGCAAAATCGCAAAAAAATCAAACACAAAACCAAAAAAAGCAAAGTTTCAAATGCGCCATAAATCACCAACAAGTAGTTCACATGTCAGATATATTTTACCTAAGTAAATGGCACCAAAACCACCCCATCCTACCAACTCTCCCAAACGCCACTTTTTCTTGGCGAGGTCTGTCAAGACGGTTCCTGGTGGCAATTTAACCATTCCTCGGGGCTTGCGAGGCTTTTTCTTCACCGGTACAGACCCCTTAGCAGCAGGTACCTTCCTTTTCCCAAGCTTAGGCTTTGAAGAGCTCATTTTACGCCAGTTATCGCTATGAGTGTGTCGATAGTCTTCCGCTCTTCTTAGACAACGGTTGGAAGGTCTCGTTGGAGTGGTCCCTAAGCCCCTTTCGATTTCCCGCCATTCGCTTTATCCATATATGACTAGGTTTACCAAAGTTGGAAAGCTTATACGATGTTCGTTGGAACAGGTCCACGAGCACACTTAAACAGGGAGCCAAGTCGTAAGTGTATTTGACTGTCTCTGCAGAAATTTTCGACTCCTTCTTTGCGAAATTAAGGTAATATCTCATTCGATTCATTTCATATCGCATTAGCTCCGCATTCTAGGGAGTTAAAATGCCTCTTAAGTCCACGATGGCGACGATCGATTTCAGCAAACGTTGATTCGGCACTTCTTCCGCCCTCTATATTTTGTTTGGGAAATTGCACATTTAATCGCCTCAATTTACCCAAAAATCGTTTAGAACTGTAGAGTCCTCATCTATTTGATCGATTTTCGACATTTTTATATCACTACAATCGATCTATTAGCCATGAGGATGGATCGACGGTTGCCAGAATTTACAAGAATGGTAGCCGAGCCAGATATCGCAAATTATTTAGATATGTGAGACCAAAACTATTCCGCTCATTGCTTAATGGCACATTTAAGTCCTTACCGTGCAAACCAGATACATCGATCGGCTATCAATCGAGATATTGATTGAGACTTTTTCACGTGACACACATGCATACAATGCTTTTCGAGGTAGACCAGTTAATCCTTCGGGAACTACTCGATATTGTTAAATAATGTAGGTGGTAGTTCAAATTAATGTTTCTCTTCTGGACTGGTGTTGTAAACACGCAAAGATCTAGTTGCAAGCCTTTAATCAGAAAGAGCGGTCTTTCACTTTCTAATTTAACCACAACATCTTTCTTTTTAGCATGAGTTCTACTTCACAAAAACACAGAAACTTTGTGTCGGAGCCTATGGGTGAAAAGCTTGTGACTGAGCTTGCAGGAATTGGTCCAGTCCTGGGGGAAAGATTGACCGTGAAGGGCTTTGACAAGGCCTATACTGTGTTGGGCCAATTCCTTCTTCTGAAGAAAGATGAAGAAATGTTTATGGAATGGATTAAAGACACATGTGCAGCTAACAAGAAGCAGGGATCAGATTGTCACAATTGTTTAAAAGAATGGTGTGATGCTTTCCTGTAAGAACTTCCTGATAATATACAACATAACCTTTATAGTCAAGATTGTGTTTTAAAGGTAAATGGTCGTTTCATTTTCTAGGGTTATCACTTCTTAGTAGCAATTTCATTCACCTTATCAAATTAATTAAGCAGATAACTGAAAAACAACAATAAAAATTAGTTTTGTTATTAATGAAATGGTGTTCTGTTTAATGATGTAATTCAGCAATGTATTTTCAAGTCATTAAAGAATGAAACAATCATGTAACTTTTACATCACAAATATATTGTTCTCCTTGACTCTGAACATAACATTAAAAAAATTTCCTGAACATTGTTAATCACCTCTAAAAATAATTTCCACTTTATACATAATTCAATTCCCACTCCCTTCTCTGTTATTGGTCTTCATCCCTTACTCTCCATTCCCTTCCATTTCTCCTTCTCCTTTCTCTCTCTCCATTTGTTTGCATTGTAGACTTAGTCTTTTTGGATGATCACCCTCTCACTTCTACATACTTGATGATTAAGTGGGTAGAGCATTATACAGTGGACTGTCTAGCATGCATTTGTCTCTGACATGATCTCAGTAAGATTATAGTCTGTGGTCCTGACTGGGATTGAAGTCAGCCTTCATTTTTACATCCTTAGATGGAACAGATATAAGCAAAATTTAATGGTAGATCTTTCAATGCAAAGATAAGTAACAAGAAAATGAAACATTTTTGACATCTTCAGAATGTTATTGTCAAGTGAAAAGCTTAGCTCAGCTCATGTGTAATAGATAGATCTTAAACACAAAGGGGTGTGAGAAATAAAGAGGGTAAGTTTCTAAAGAAACTGGTGCTGCATCTGTGGAAGAGTCATAACAAGGTAATTTGGTATTATCAACTGAGTTGATAAATTGTAAATTGGCATTGAAAAGAGTTTTAAAGCTCATGTGTCAAGCATTGGCCCTTCATCAGAGTGAGCATGCCATAAATAGGTTGGCCCTGCCCCTTGGTTTCAGCTCAAATAATAATTATACTGTGGTGATATTTCACAACGGCAACGGCGAATCGTTACGAATTTCAAATTTACCGCCACTGTCAAATATTGACATGTGGCGACCATACCGCTGACGAGTAGCCAAAATGACCCTGGGGTCGAGATCGTTTACACATGGAATACAACGTTGTAACCGCTGAGTTAGGAAATGCGGGCTCTAGCCTAGCGCATGACAAATTAGGAGTCGGGACCACAGTTCTACTGGACGTTTTGGTAGTTCCTTCGTTTCTTGACAGTGTGAACCCTTCAACTTGAATTTGTGGTATCTATTAAATATGCCGTCTGTAGATGGTGAAGAAAATGGCGAGGAGGAGGTGGAAAGGAGCCCTAATGAAGACGAGAACATGAGTGAAGACGAAGAGGAAGAGAGCAGCCTGAGTTCCGACGAATCGTCTTCCGAGTCCAGCAGTTAGTGCAGACTTATTGACTTTTTCTTCCGCGCGATTTTGCTCTTTAGTGTAAATTGTTTTGCCAGTATGTTAGCTTATTCTTATCTAAATTTCTTTTTTATTTTAGTCGACGAAACAGAAAACGAGAGAAGAAGAAATGAATGTCTTAATGACATGGCAGACCTGGAAAGACAATTTAGCGACCTGAAAGAACAGTTAGTTTGAATTTACTACTAGTATTGATTTGTTAAAATAAGCTGTTTCTATGACAATTTTGATGAGCAGGTAGTAGCAAAGTGATGCTCCTTTTTCAGGTTGTATCGAGAGCGCATCAGCCAAGTTGAGAAGAAGTTGGATGAAGTACAATCTGGTAAGTTTTCTGGGGTAGGGTGGAGAATGATCTCTTTTCTTTCCCTCTTTCTCTCGCTTTAAAGTAAAATTTTCCTTTTCATTCAAAAGTTAAGCTAGTGTATCCTAAGTGTCTGGAGAGTTGTGTTTAGATGTTCCTTTTTTGACCCTTTTACTTCCAAAATCTGATTGTTAATTCTCTTCTCTTGCTGCTACACTTTTCCTTTTAAATTTGCTACAAGAACTTGGTGCAAGATCAAGATAAAAAGTTCTTTTTGATAAGTTTGAGTATTCTCATAAACTGCTTGCTAGAAAATGTATGGATATCATTGGGAGAAATTCCATGTTAGTCACTTCTGGGAGTTAAGGGGTTAAGGATTATCCATCTGTTTCCTTTGTCAATCCTTCATCCTGGTTGTTCAAGTTTCTTCAATACCTTCCACCTCCTTTTGATAAAGCTACAGGCATTGTTACCCTCCTCTTTCCCCACAATTTGAGTCTCTGTAACAACAGCCCCTGTGCACAAGGAAGTCACTTGAAAAAAAGGTTAGCAAGGGAGGTCACATATACTTTGAACAGTATTTCACGCATTACAAATCTAAAAGGAAAAATGACAAATCTCACCTTAACTTGCCTTTCTGTAAATTTTTTGTGTTATGGATTAATTTTGGGCATAATCACACATCACTTTTAAACCCTATTCCACCTTCTTGACAAAATTACAGTCAACTTAGTGATAAATGTTTTTTTCTTTCTCTTACTCCAACAGTTATCATCATCTGTATGAAACATGATTTATATCCTATTTTTTCCATCCTATATGATTACATAATTGTGACTTGTATTAAATTGGTGTTAATCACTTTGATGGAAATTGCAGAACAATAAAGTGTATCACTGTGTGATTTTCTCATAACAGAATGTGCCATGGAGTACACAGGCCCTGTTGGTGAATTGAAGGAGATGTGTGAGATAAGAATTGAAGTTGCAGGTATCCAGTAGTGATAAAATATTATTTTTAAGTTTGTTATTGCAGCTAGTGCCAGAATAATAAGAATGTCAGACTTCATCCTTCATGTACTTCAGAACTTGGTATTAGCTCCCTGTTGTTCTTACATTTACCACTACAAATGGCCACTTGGATCCAGTCAGTCAAAAGGCTGATAATGCAATCAAACAGATAAACTGCTATCCAAGAGGACAAGTGATAACAAAATGTACTGCACTATCCAGCAGAAAGCCGGTTATCTAGTGAATAGGGTTATCCACCCTTGAAAAAAAGATTTGCTTCTTTTGTAAATCTAAAAACAGTACTGACTTGGGAACAAGAGAGATGTTTAATTTTCAAATTATCTATCCAATGAGAAAGTTTCATATATGCATGTAACAAAATGTCTTTAAAATCAACATTTCTGGGAAAAATGGGAACAGAGTGAAAGTATAAAATTACAAATGATAACCAAAGTAGATCTCAAGTAAAGTTAGATATAAAACTCAACACTTGTTTTTGCTTCCCTGATATATTTACTTACAAGTTGTACCCAGGTGCTGCTGTTCAGCCACTACTCCTTGTTGATTTTCAATTTTGTTTATCTCATTTTGTTATTTTTTCCAGGGATGTATGGGAAAGTGTAGTCATTACATGCAAACAAAAGTATTGTTAAAGCAATTTGCTACAAAACTAATTTGTGATTAATTGATTTTCAGGAATTTTACGAAACTGTAGGGTAAGTATCCTCAGTGACATAAATGGTGAAATGATTTAGTGGTTGCAACAGTTGTGTGTCAAGTTGTGATGTCTTGTCTTTGTGCAGTATATCAAACTAACCATTATCATGGTATTATCGTGAAAATTGATCATTGATATTTACATGTATTGAACACTGATTGGAAAAATAAATGGAACTTCTAAAAGAAACAATTTCACTGATCATGAAAATGTGAATAAATGTATTGATTGATGAATTAAGTAAACAAGGAAATTATGTTTGTACCTCTTCCTTATAACTGTTGTTCTTTTAAATGACTGTAAATATATGAAAATCATATATATGAACTGCAGATTAATAAATGAATATGAAAGTGATCTTCACTGTTGCGAACAGTACTGTGCAGCAGTAAAAGTAAGGCCTGTAGTGGATTCGAACCCGTGATCTTTGTGATACCAGTACAGTATTCTACTAACTGAGCTAACAAACCAACTGGGAGCTGGTCATTTTGTTGGTGGAAATAAACCAGGGAAGTAATGAATAAATGACTGTTGTTCTTTTTAGTTAGGGAATGTAAGAAACAAATATGATGCTGATGAACAGGCTGCCAAACAACATTATGAGGTAAGTGACATGAACCCTCACATTTCAAGGGGTAACCTAAAGAAAAACTCTTGAAACAATATTGTTAACCCTTTAACTCCCAATATCTCATTAGTTATTCTCTTTACTGTCTGCCATACAGTTCTTGTGTTATTAGTTTGGAGAATTTGGTATTGAATCAACTCATAATCCCCTAACTGATATTTTTCTCTATTCTTATCACTTGCCTGATTGATATTGTATTGATATTGTAAGAAGAAATTCTGTCTTGGTCACTCATATTTAAAGGGTTCAATTTCCAAGAATATGTTAAGAGAATAGAAAAATATCAATCAGCAAATATAAAATCTTTGAACTAGCATCACAAAATTGTAAATTGATTGAACAGATCTTGAGAAGGGATAAAGAGTGTATTTAATGAGATCATCTATCATCCAGTCATGATTTGGTTAAAAAATTTGGCACCTTAAAAACCATTGAAGCCAATCATCAAACTACTTAAACAATGATGCAAATTGTTTAACCTTACTGCCTGACCAAAGTGTAGCAGTCAAAAGGTTGTGATGTACAAGTGGAAGTCATTTATTTTTGTGCATACTAATCTATAACAGTTGGCTGCAAATTAGTTGGCTATTTTCAAAGCTCAGTAGAGGTTGCAAACATGCCTTTGACCTCTCAGCCTTGCCTCTACTTTATTACATACAGTACCTTGATATTTTTCAATTGACTATTATCAAAATATATGATGTCTTTCCTTTACAGAGTGAAAAGTTGGCCTTGATGGAAAGCATGAAGCAAGAGTTGGAAGAAAAAATTAGAAAATTAGAAGAAGATAAACAAAATATGGATATATCAGCTGGTAAAATCTTTGGAACTATGCTCATTATTTTGGCTGCTTATTGTTTCTCCTTCATTATTATATAAATCAAAATTCTCACTCCTAAAAACTTTTTTGTTGAGTTAACTTTAGTTAGTGACAGTTGTGAGTACTTTTGAATTGTGTTATTTACTTCATTTCAGATATCTGGCTTGAATCTCAGTCACTTAAAAAGAGGCACAGGAAGTCATCTGATGGATCCATGCTCTCTGACAAAAGACGGAAGCCTGTCACTGTTACAGATATCCTTTTAGAACTCTACACTAATACGTTTCTGAAACTGCTGAATTGAATTAACCCTTAATTTCCTAAGATCTGATTGTTAATTCTTTCCTCTATCTGCAACACTTTTTCATGTAAAGTAGTTAGGAGAATTTGTGTCATATCACCATGATGACAACTTCAATTTTGAGAATTCTCATCACCTGTTTACTGGATAATGTATGGAGAAGCTACATGTCAATCACTCCAAAGGAGTCTGAAGGTTAACCTTCCAGTGACCTTCCTTACTGGCAACCTAGCCATACACATCCATATTCCCCTTTGCACACATCAAACTCAACACAGAGGATTCATTGGAAATCATAAACAGTAAAGATAATTAAGAAGAGAAAGAAAGGCTCTAAAGGAACAGAAAGAATCAGAAACCAATTAAGAAATCTGTGAGCAAAGCCAGTTCAAATTCAGGTGTAATATACATTTACGAAGAAGTGCAAAGGTACTAGCAGAACTTAAACCTGTCAAAAACCTTAGGCTGCATTCAGTGGTATGGGAAGCACATAGATGTTAGCATGGTTATAATAGCAGGTTAGAAAATATCAGTTCTACCCTTAAGCTACCACCTTTGGCTCCTGGTTATTAACTAAGTTATATTACATTCAGTTTTAAGAAGGTTATTGCAGATTTAAGTCAAAAGTATTCTCATTGTCTTTTCTTGACCTTACCCAAGTCCCTATATTGTGTATATGTTAAGAGAAATGGATATTCTTGAAGACTGGGCAGCCATCAGGAAGGTAAATCTTGAGGTGTTTTTATCAGAACTTTTTTTTTTTTTTTTTGGATATGAGAGCTGTATTTATTTTTCTGTAGTTATTGTTTTGTTTTCCAATTACAACTGCCAGTCTGTTTCCAATAAAAAATGAGGTGCTATAATAGAATTTTTTCTTTAAAGGCAAAAGGGGCATTGGCAAGGAGAAGACAAGAAAGTAGGACATTATTTGATTTACCTACATTTCCAGAATAATTTTGCAATTGTTGGCCATTGATACAAACAAATTGATCATTTGTTTGGAATGGCTAATATGCCTGTAGATTTAACAACATTTCTTTGTACCTGACTGTGGCAAATTTTTGTTAGAACACCTGCCAACAAAATACAGTTTAAGAGGCTTGTTGGTCATACTTAAACTCTGTTCTCCTCAGTA